CGACTACGAACGGCTCGACTACGATTATTCGTTCTCTGAAAGAGGTTATGGGCGACGCGTCGACGGCAGTAAACATTCACAACGACATGTTGGAGAGCTTTGACGTGCCTTCGGATCCTTCAAGCCGTAGCCAGCAAAGGGATAGCGCATCCTCGCGAAACATACAAGCATGTCAAGAAGATGATAGTCTTCTGATTCCGAGTAACACGACGCAGTCGCAAGACGGCAATACATGCACAACTGCAAAGAGTGAAGCAGATACTGGCACTGGGGACGATCGCGACACCATCGTCAGGACAGATGCATCTGAAGCCGGGATGTCTCGCTTTGATTGGGAAAAGATTCACGCAATTCCTGATTCGGCATTCAGACAGCTGCTGCATTCGGTCATCGAGAGCTACAGCTCCGTCGATATTGCTTTAGAGGAGTGCCATGTTACGCAACGCAGGGATGGTGGATTTCATCACGTTGTGTTCATGGCAGCGGTAAAAGACGAGCCTCCCAACCGTCTTGTCGAACGATATGTTTTCAGAGTCCCTGCTATTGGAACTGCAGCCCGGTGGCAGCCAGGCGATCAGCACAACCTACGCTGCGAAGTGACCTTGATGCAGTGGCTGCGAAACAAAACTTCCATCCCGATACCAGAAGTCGTTGACTTCGCTCTAGATATCGAGACCTCTTTCATCGGCGCACCATACATCTTGATGAAGCGCATGCCTGGAAAAGCCGCCCAAAACGTCTGGTATGACAAGCCTAGTGATCGCAATCATGTCACCACCAACTGCGTTTCTCCACAAACGGAGAAGAAGCGTCGTAATATTCTGCGCTCACTTGCGCAGTGTATGTCGCAGCTAAGAGACGTGAGCTTCAATGAGGTTGGTCTTGTAGATTGCAAGGACGCACTTTCTTTGGGCGCGACGCCAACAACTACAGTCTCATATCGCTGGAAGCCGCCGTACGAACTCACTGCGGAGGATCTAGGAGGACCAACCCAAGTGTACCCATATGGACCATTCAAAAAGAATCTGGACTACTGGAAGCTGGACTTGGAGGAGAGCTGGCCTGCGATCCCTGAATACGATCCCGATGTTGATCAAGATATACTGAACATGGTATCTGGAATGCGCAAGATCATCGACATGCTTCACGACCACCCTACCATCGCCGCTTCGAAAAAAGATCCCGCAGATGCCGACGAGAAGGAGACCTTCGTCATCCGTCATCCTGATCTCGATCTACAGAACATTCTCGTAGATGACGACGGCAACGTTACAGGCATCATCGACTGGGATGACTGTCTCGCCGTCCCTCGCTGTATCGGCTATGCTTCACTACCCGACTTCCTCCGTCGTGATTGGAACAAAGACTTTTCTCTTGCTGACTCACCCCACATGCCCACATGGGAGATGCAGAAGTACGCGGATATTTATGCCGATGCCATGGCAGAGACTGGATGCTCCGACGCGAGATACACACGTAAGTCTGGGATGTATCGGGCTATTGCTGGTGCAATCACGCAAGGCAGTCTCACGGATGTGATTGAGAAGCTCTTCGCTCATATTCCAGGGTTGAGGATGAGTAATGTTGAGGAGCTTCAGCGACTGATAGGTGGAGGATGGGTTGAGGGTGAGGAGTATATCAAGAAGGCGATTGGCAAGCTGTTAGAGCCCAGCGGCCGCTTTACTTGATTCGCTCGTGTCCAGGTGGCGGATACCCACCTCAACTGGGACGCCTAAATTGCAAGGACGGGATCGGCCTGCAGGCAACCATACACATCTACATTTGACTCATCCACTTCGATACAAGAAATCCCTCCTGCTGCCATCATTGTTATACAAATCTCCCCAGTTCTGTTTATCGATCTGCAAAGATAGTCAAGATACCACAATGGCTAATGATCGATGCGGGATCTGCTACGAATGCACACGCTACCAAGATCGACTGGACACCACCCAAGAAGCCGCACACGAACCAACACCCAGCGACACAAAGTCCACTGATAGTACCCCAGCCAAAAATGCCGATCTACATTGCGCTCGCCCGAAAATAAATCGTGAACCACTAGCATGGTCTTTAGATCCTTCAAGAGTCCTACCCCAACACAACTGCCGCCTCTTCACATCACTTCCTCTGGAACTCAGAGAGATAATCTATACCTACTTTCTCACGGACACAACTTCCTACCCTATCGACTACCTTGGCCCTAAAGACTCCATACCAGTCGTTCATGTCAAATACCTCGGTCACGGTCAAAATGCTAGGAGTTTGGCTGGCGGGAGACCTTTGCATCCTTCTGATATAACGGTATCACTCCTCCATACTTGTAAGGCGGTGTATCTGGAGACGTGGAACATGCCATCGAAGGTGAATGCATACCGCATGGGTGCATCTCGACATCTTCGAAGCGCTGGAATGCCAGCATGGCAACTAGCACAGATACGCGGACTGGATATCACAATCAAGCAGCGTGAGCTGGAAAACGGGAAGCTGGGGGATATGTTGAATGCGATGGGAGGCAACGCTAGACAGCAGGGCGCATACCTGGTACCTATGCGCTGTTTCCGTGATGATGGATGGACGAAGATAGAGGGGTGCTCACGCTCTCTTGATTACAATTATTTTGTACCATCCGTCGTCGACTTACCGGATACACAACCGCAGCGCCTTAAAGACATTCTGAAACGTCTTCCCACCGCTGCTGAATCCATGCTACCATCATCTCGCAGCCTCCACGTCACCCTCGCTCAACCCCTAACCCATCTCACGCTACGTCTCACACGCACAGACTGGTCAACATGGAACGTAGCCGTAAACCTCCATCTCGACCCGTCGTTCGGGCGCTACGACCTCAACGAAGGCCGCCCCTCGGGCAAAGCCATGCGTCTGCGTGCTGAACAGCGCAAGGCTGGTCGGCATCCGCGGCTCAACTCACAGTCTTGGGGCGCACATGTCGTTTCTGCGTTGCCTGATCTCAAGACGCTGGAGTTGGTGCTGGAGACTTTCGAGGCGAGGAAGGAGGAGTTGGAACGCGTTGTGCAGTATGCGAAGATGTGGAGGTTTGAGTTTGGGTTTGGTGATGGTGGGGAAGAAGAGGAGAAGGGGAAAGAGTGGGCGTTAGTGTGGGATGGGGATGTAGTGGAAAGGCGGTGGAAGAGAGATTTGGGAGAGACTGTGGTATCGAGGCGTGATCGTAGGCTTTTGCGGCCTGGACCTTCGTGCAATGACTGTAATGATTTTGAGGTGAGGACGCTGCGGTATGTTAGGGCGAGAGTGGTGGAGTAGTTTATGCTGTAATTCAGGCTTCTCGTTGTATGCTGGACTTTGCGCATAGTTTAACAAATGATGTTGCCAGGCACTCTACATCTTGCTTCCACCCTCTTGTGGTACCTTGACAACAACCTTACCCCAGCTATTGCGGCCACCCAACGCCTTTAGCGCCGCGGGTACACTGTCAAGACCGACGTACTCCACATCGGTAAAAGCAGTGCCCTTGTATTTCCCCTCCTTGACAAGCTGGAAGATACCGTCCCAAACCTTATCCTGCATCTCGGGCTCGTTCATCGCGTACGCACCCCAATGCAACCCAACAACACTAACGTTCTTGAGCAAAATGCGGTTCGTAGCCATCTTCTCGATATCGCCTGCCGCAAATCCGATGACCAAAAGTCTGCCGTTCCAGGCTGTGCACTTCATGGACTGTGCGATCAAACCAACAGGGTCGTATACGATATCCACGCCCCGGCCCTTGGGAGTGAGCTTCTTCACTTGCTCAGGCCAGTCTTTGTCGCGGTAGGAGACGGCGTAGTCTGCGCCGAAGGAACGCGCAACGTCGAGTTTATGTGATGTGCCAGCAGTGGCTACGACGGTCGCGCCGAAGGCTTTGGCGATTTGCACGGCGGCGAGACCGACGCCGCCGGCTGCTGCGTGGACGAGTACCCAGTCGCCTACGTAGCAGTGTTAGTCTCTATATGGGAAAATTAACAGGGTTCGGAGTTCCGATGGCTTACCCTTCTTGATGCCTGCTCTAGTCACCAATCCAGCATAGCTCGTCGGCGCTGTAACAAATACACCAGCAGCATCTTCGAAACTCCATCCCTCTGGCACAGGCTTGAGTCTCTCCTCTGTGCAAACAATGTGTGTTGCGTAGCCGCCCTGGGAAGCACCAAAGACCTTGTCGCCCTCCTTGAACTTCGGTGTCTTGCCTCCTGCGAGCGAGGTCGGTGCTTTGAGGACAACGCCGGAGAACTCTGAACCGGCTATCCAGGGGAATGCAGGTTGGTGTTGGTATTTGCCGCGGATCTGGAGGAGATCGAAGAAGTTGGTTGCTGAGGCGTGGATGGCGATTAGGTACTCGTTCGATTTGGGAGTCGGGGTCGGGAGATCGAGGACCTTGAGATCCTCTGGGCCCTGATAGAGTTAGTAGTGAAGCTTGAAGCTGGTACATTGCTAGGTAGGATGCTTACCGAGACATATTCCTTGATCTGTATGCCTTTCATGATGAAGTTTGATTGTTGTTGAGCGTAATATGTATGGTAGCAAACAGCTTTATTGTAGGGTGTAGTAAAGGGTTCAGTCAGGAACTCGAAGACGATGTCGGGTAGTTAGAGTCGTCGCGGACGCCATTGTAGCTTGCATGACGGCCGACAGCTACTCAACGCTCAAAAGATACCTCGGCTGGCTTCCCCGGCCAACCTCCGCTCCTGCCCCCACCCAGAGGCTTGGCGCGCGTGTCTTAGTCAGCGGAAGCCGCGCGATATGCACGGGCACGCGCTAAGAAACGGCAGGGTACCAGGTGCGGGTCCAGTGACGTTCTACTGCCTTCCAATCCTATCCAAGCTAACGACGGCCTCTCGCACAGTCAAACATCTCTGCTGCTATACACCACCCATACTCGTCAAGGACACGTATCAGTTCGCAGTCAACAGTTATACCCAGACTGCTCTATTCCTCCAAGTGCCTAGAGCTTCCTATCACTACCCCACGCTCGTAAATCAGCGACCATGGCCGACGACGCCGCCACAACCACCGAGGACACGCAGATCACCTTCAATGTCAAGGCTGCAAACGACCAGAAGCACGTTCTCACACTAGCCCAAACCACCACAGTTGCCGACCTCAAGGCCAAACTCTCGACGTCGGAATACGCAGATGTTCCCGCCGAACGCCAACGCCTGATATACTCCGGTCGCGTACTGAAGGACCACGACACACTCGCTAGCGTTAAGATCAAGGATGGCCACACAGTCCATCTCGTCAAGGGTGCCGCCAGCAACGTACGAAACCAAGGCCCGGCGGGCACAGCAAGCGGGGGCAACACCCAGACGCCACAGGTGCCGACCAACATTGCTGCAGGAACAGGCAACAACCCCCTCGCTGGGCTCACAGGCGCGCGCTATGCCGGTTTCCACGGTCTACCAGGCATGGACACTTTCGGACCGGACGGTGGCGTAAGTCTAGATCAACCCGAGATTCGACATGGACATTTACTGACACGTGGTAGATGGGCGGCCCTCCTACAAACCCAGAAGCTTTACTAGAGCAAATGGAGAACCCCATGTTTCTATCGCAGATGAACGAGGCTATGAACAACCCAGCAGTAGTAGAAATGATGCTGCAGAGCCCCATGGTAAGTTTGTTCCCTCTTTCTACTATGCGTTGTCTAATCTGAGATAGATCCGCGACAACCCGATGCTTCAGCAAGTCCTCCGAAACCCCGAAATGCGCCGTATGATGTTCAGCCCAGAGATGATGCGCATGCAACTGCAGATGCAGCGGAATATGGGTCCCACAGGCCCGAGTTTCCCAGCCCCAGGAGCTACCGACAACACCACACAGCCAGGTTCGACCGCCACAGGAGAAGGCACAACCGCGACACCGAACCAGCCTAATACGACCGGACCAACAGACCCATTCTCCGCATTCGGTACAGCCGGTGGTGCCGCAGGCGCTGGAGCAAACCCGTTCGCCAATCTGTTTGCTGGAGGCCAGAATCCTTTGGCTCCTCAGCAACAGGGTGGTGCGGCACAAAACACACAAGACGCCTCGGGCACCTTTCCCAACTTGTTTGGTGGAGCTGGCGCACAAGGCGGACAAGCGAACCCGTTCGCGGCGGCCGCCCAAAGGATGATGCAGGACCCAGAAGCCATGCGCAACATGATGCAGATGATGGGCGGTGCAGGAGGCGCAGGAGCAAACCCATTCGCAGCCTTTGGTGGACAAGACGCAGCAGGAGCTCCAGGAGGCGAAGCAGGCCAACAAGCCGGCGGTAACCCCTTCGCCGCACTCTTCGGTCCCGGTGGATTCGGCGGCGCAGGCGGCTTCGGTGCCCCACCAGCCCCCGCAGACAACCGGCCACCCGAGGAAATCTACGAGGTACAACTCAGGCAGCTCAACGAAATGGGCTTCTACGAGTTCGACCGCAACGTCGCCGCCCTACGGCGCAGCGGCGGCAACGTCCAAGGCGCAATCGAGCACCTTCTCGGCGGCGGAGCGTAGCGAGCTTTCCCCCGCATCTTCTTGCTCCCCGTGCCCCCAGAACGACCGTACTTGACCCAGGACGAATTATAGGAAATCGAACGTTATGAAGAAAGAGAAAGAGAGCGGCAATTAGCTGCGGACGACGCTGGCGACGATATCGAGGGTGTCGAGGACGCTTATGATAGTGACGAGGATTGGTCTTTTGCGTTTGAGGATGATGAGACGCTCGTTGCGTTTGATGGACTCAAGAAGTGAGTGATATTGATGATGACGAGAGCGGTGGTAATCATTTGGTAAGGCGTACACGGGAGCGTGTGGATAGATAGTACAGATACCAAGCAGTAGGCAACACAATAATGCCGATTCGTACAACTTATCTTGCATGATGCCTGTGTGGTGAACACGATCTGCAGAGTAACATTCTGGGTTCAATCTAGGTTGGTACTCAAAACAGATTATTGCTACTTCGTCTTTAATCACATGCAGTTTTTGTCTTATTTGATTCGCCTCTGATTAAACCCCCGCATAGATGAGAAAAGCGCTCGCAACTTAAAAAAACGCCAGGCTGAACCTTCCAACGGCAGCCTTGTATTTCCTCTTCAACCATTCTGTCCAAACGCACACAAACATCAAGAAACGCCATGACCATGCAGAAAAAAACACGACTACGAGAAAACCCGAAAGTATGAATACCCCCGACCAGATTTCCGCTCAGAAGACAGGCTAAGCCTATCCATAGCGTCCGACAACGACTAGTCACGGACGCTCAATCCAGAGCGATCGGTAAACATGCGCGTGGCAATGTTCATGGCGAGGAGTTCCTGGAAGAGCAGCTTGGCGGCGTAGGGGATGTGGATTTGGGAGATGCGGGTTTTGTTGTGGCAGGGGCGGCATTCGTAGAGGCCCTTTTTGAGTTGGCTGGATGTTGGAGTTAGTAAGAGTGTTTAGGTGGGAGATGGGGAGATGTGGGAGAGGGAAAACTTACGCAATAGGACTCATCAGACCGCAGATGTCGCACACGTGTACGGTGTACGCGTCTGAGACGGTAAAGAGACGTTCTTTCAAGAAGGCGGCGGCGCCGTGCGCAATCATACAATCACGTTCCATCTCTCCGAAACGAAGGCCACCATCCCTAGCACGACCCTCGACAGGCTGGCGAGTAAGGATTTGAAGGGGACCACGAGCACGAGCGTGGATTTTGTCGTCGACCATGTGCCTGAGACGCTGGTAGTATGTCGGGCCCAAGAAGATTTGCGTGCGCATCTTCTTGCCGGTGTGGCCGTTGTACATGATTTCGAAACCACGCTTCTGGTAGCCGGCGTCCTCGAGCAGGCCGGAGACTTGGTCGACGGTGATGTCGGTGAAGGGTGTGGCGTCTCCTTCTTGCCCGGTGATGGCGCCGACTTTCGAGAGTAGACACTCGATCAAATGGGCGATTGTCATACGGGAGGGAATGGCGTGGGGGTTGATGATCAGATCGGGGGTTAGACCTTCCTTGGAGAAGGGCATGTCTTCTTGGCGGTAGGTGATACCGATGGTTCCCTTTTGACCGTGACGAGAAGCGAACTTGTCACCGATTTGCGGTACCTTGGTCGTTCGTGTACGGACCTTGACGAAGCGGAGTCCCTCGGTGTTAGTGGTGAAAAGCACTTGGTCGACGATACCGTTCTCGGTGCTACGCAGTGGTGTTGAGACATCGCGCTTGGTGTGGAGAGTAGTCTTCTGACCAAGCTCTTGTGCGTCGGTTGCAATAGGAGCTGTCTTTCCGATGATGATATCGTCACCAGAAACACGCACACCAGGCGCAACGACACCGTCATCGTCGAGCTTGTCGTATGTTCCACCCTTCAGACGGAGTGTATCGGCACGCGTAGGCTTCTCGAACTGCTCCAGAACGTTGACACCAATACGCTTCTCCTGCTCAGTGTATGCACGGTAGAACAAACTCCTGAAAAGTCCACGATCGATACTGCTCTGGTTCATAATGACGGAATCTTCCTGATTGTAACCACCGTATGTGGCAATGGCGACAATGGCGTTTTGACCAGCGGGAAGCTCACGGAACTTGAGGTACTCCATTGATCGAGTAGTAGCCAATGGCTTCTGGGGATAGTATAGGACGTTCATCATGGTTTCCATGCGCAGCGCGAAGTTGGTGAGGGCGACACCCATGGCTTGCTTACCCATGGCAGATTGGTAGGTGTTACGGGGCGACTGGTTGTGATCGGGGAAAGGAATGATACTGGCACAGATACCCAGAATCATGGCCGGGTGAATCTCGCAATGAGTGTAGGCGTGGATGCGTGGGTCTGGTAGTGGCTTGAGACGTCGAAGACGGTGCTCGCCTTCGGTAGAACGCTCAGCCGCAGGTAGGCCCATCTTCATCTCTCGCCACTCTTCCAGATCCTCAGGAGAGAACGTTATCATGGCGGTCTCCTCTTCCTCAGCGTCGAGGTATTCCACAACACCATCCTGGATAAGACCTCTCCAGCCGTATGTGGCTTGTTCGACCTCATCCTGACTCCATCCCTGTCGCGTGCTTGTCTCCATCTGTTCCTGCTTCAGCTTATTACTGATTTCCTTGGTAAAGATGAGGTGGTTGCGGTTCGGTTTCCGAATGTCGTTCTCAACAACGAACAATGGTCTCATGACACGGCCGGCATCTGTGAAGATCTTGAACTCTCGGTCACGAATGTCGCGAATCAAACTCATCTCGTAAGATAGAGTTCCGTTTCGTCGCAGCTCCTGCACGACTGTGACAAGTTGTTGGGCGTTGGAGTGAACACCAACCCAGACACCATTGACGAAGACCTTGGTCGCATCTGGGTTCTGGTTTTGGTCGTACTCTTCCAGAAGCTGCATGTTTCGCTGTGTCATGAAGTCGATGATAGGCGACGCGTCGCTACCGACACTGACGTAGCACATCAAAGACAAGTTCTTGACCAGACCACAAGCTTGTCCTTCAGGAGTCTCGGCAGGGCAAACAAGGCCCCAATGGGAGTTGTGAAGCTGTCGCGGCTTGGCTAGCTTGCCGTCACGACCGACTGGGGTGTTTGTTCGACGCAAATGCGACAGTGTGGAGGCGTAGGTGTATCGGTTCAACACCTGGGACACACCGGCCTTGGCGGAAGCGGCCTTCTTCTGGTCACCCCAGTTACCCGTTGCCAAAGAGTACTTCAGACCATTCGTGATGATGCTGGCCTTGACAGCCATCTGAACGTTGAAGTCCTGGTTGTTCTCAACGCATCGTTGGAGGTACTTGTACACGTCCTTGGTGAGCTTCAGGAAGAGAATACGGAACAAGTTGGCAACCAGAGGTCCAGCAAGATCCAGACGCTTTTTACCGAAGTGATCACGATCGTCCTCGTCGCGGCGACCCAACACACACTGCAAAAGGCGGTGGATCATGTAACCAAAGAAGTAGGCCTTGCGTGTGTCCTGACCCTCCTTCTGGGAAATATGCGGCAAGAATTCTCGCTGCATAATGTCCCTCGCAAACTTGAGACGCCGGTCCTTCGTGCCTGAGTTGGCGCCACGCTTGGCAATGAAGTCAAGAGCAGTCTCTCGGTCCTGAACAACTGAACCCTCCTCGATACTAGGCTTCAACAGCTCCAGCATTTGTGTGTCGGTACGGTCGTAAACGATGTGGCTCAGAATTTCCTCGTCGGAAACGATACCAAGCGCGCGGAAGACGATGGCCATGGGCACATCCGCCTTGATGTATGGGAGGGTAGCGTATGCGAAAGGACCGGGGATACGTTTTCCGGGACCCGCGAGTGAGTTCTCCGCCCACTTAATGTTGAATGATGAGATCAACCGGGTGCCCTTTTCGACTGCACTTCGAATCTCAGCGATCCATGGAATAGGACCCTGCTTCTTTCGGAAGACCTGTACAATGTTCGCGGCACTGCGCTCCTGAGCGATGAGGACTTTCTCACTTCCGTTGATGACGAAGTATCCACCCTGATCGTAAGGGCACTCGTTCAGAGCGAACAGGTCCGCGTCAGACTGCGCTCGCAAATGGCAGAGCTCTGACCGCAACATGACAGGAAGCTTTCCGATGAAGACTCGCGCCGCAGCGCCATCATCCATTGGCATGTCTTCACGCTCCCACCGGATCTGCGATGGTCCGCCTGTGTAGCCACCCTCCATCTCCTCGTCATCGCCCTCCTCTGGTTCGCGTCCCTCACGGGCGACCATTATTCGGTTCTCGATATCGGCCAACATGGCACCGGAGTAGGTGAGATTCCGTAAACGCGCTTCGTGAGGGTAAAGTTGCACCGTGGTGCCGTCGCCTTCTGTGTGTGTTGGCCGCGCCAGGTAGACGCGCCCGAATTTAATTTCATAGCGGCGCTTGATGATGGGATTCTCCTCCTCATCGGGGTTGTAGGGCGTATTTTGCTCGAGAATGACGCTGCCGTTTTCTTTTACGATATCCTGGATTGTGTTGCGCGTGAATTCATCGTACGAGTCGAGCTGCTGCGAGACCAGACCCTTGGTGTCGAAGAAGGAGCTGATGACCGCCCAGCAGTCCTCGGGCAAGACGCGGTTCTCCTCATCCTCGTACTCGTCCTCCATACCGTCGTAGTCGTACGGCTCGGCCATGATCGCGACTGGGTTGATTAGGCGCGGGGAGGTGAAGGGGGGTGGGTGAGTGCGGACGTGTAGTGTCCTGTCTGTTCGGTATGCGACGGCGGCGACCGCCTCTCAAAGGACGTTCGGTGCTAACGCTCCACGTCTTAGCGCCACCACGCATCACGTGATGACTACTAGCGCATCAGACCCCACCCATGGACACAGTCGACAGGTCTCTTCCAGGAATCCATGTCCAGGGACATCCAACTTCCCGATGACGCGTTTCGGGTTCATTCATACATTCAGTCCCGCCTGTGCAAGACTACGCCTGCAGCTATACTGGACTTTCCAAGGTTCTCAAAGCTGGCCGGCTTGAACGCCAACACTGAACCCTTCTGCCCCCAATCATTGGCGACAGAACGCTTTCCCTAATCCAATCTTTC